TAGAGTATATATTTCTTTTATACAAAATTTCATTAATGTTATCATCAAAACAATGAGATATATTAAACACCAATCTGTGTTCTAATAATCTCCTCCCCATCCATAGTTGCTAACATTAAAGTGCTTCCTGAGAAGACTTTCTTGACAATGTATGGACCATCATAGTTAATAGTTCACTTGCCCTTAGAATCGGTGAGGAAAGATTGGATTTTCTTAAGCACAAGGTCACCTTTTCTGAATTCCCGAGGTGAAACCTTTTTGTCAAAATCTTTCTTCATCCTTTGATGGTACAATTAACCATTGCATAAAGCCGCCATCCCCTTTTCTTTGATTAAATTCAACTAATCAGATCTGCTTTGACACCATTCAGCCTCTAAGAGCTTTGCTTCCATCAGAACTCGTACGAAAGCCTCATCCATTGTAACGGGTTCGAATTCTACCATAAGTGAAAAATGGACGAAGTCACCATCATCATTAACTTTATTGTTATATAATAGATCACAATTTTAGAGTCTCACAGACAAACCTCTTTTCCTTGTTGATCTTCTCACATTTTATTCGATTTGGGCTTTAACTAAGGTTGTTTTTGCATTTTTGAGCTTGACATCAAACTTCTTTATAAGTTGATCCGACACATGTTGATACGCCACTAAACCTATCACTCTCAACTGACTCATGTTTAGTCTGAATATGTACCAAGACTCCTCCGGTGTGATATTTTCAAGCTTATTTTTGGGGCATCTGTTGTACAAATAAGTGGTTGTGGAGACAACTTATCCCCAAAATTCCTTAAGCAAGTTCTTTCCTTTTAGCATGCTCCTCAGCATGTTCATGATATAACAATTCTTACTTTTGAAAACATCATTTCTCTGCGGTGTATAGGCGGCACTACCTCATGTATAATGCCCTCTTGATCACAAAACATTCTAAAATCATTCGAGACATATTCGCCTCTACCATTTGTTTTGAGAACTTTGATTTTCTAACTGTTTTTCCTTTCAACCATAGACTTGAACTTCTTGAACACTTCAAGTACCTCATCCTTTCTCTCGATTAGGCACGTCCATAACTTTCTACTATGATCATCAATGAATGTGATGAAATATCTATTTCCACCAATAAAATTAACTTGCATTAGTCCACACACATACAAATACACCACCTCAACATGAAACTTCATTCTACAACCTGCACGTTTGTTGAATTTTCCTTATGTTGCTTTGCTTTCACATATTATTTACAAATTTCATTCAGTATATTGATCAATGGCAGACACATTACCATCTTGTTCTTTTGCAAGGTGTTGAGATCTTGAAATTTAATATGTCTAATCCTTTAATGCCATATCCATTCTTCCAAACTAGCCGCGGTATTAAGAGGCTTATGTTTCATAACCTTCAATTCAACCTTGAAGATTCTATTTGGAGCCATATGAGCCTTTAGGACCAAAACTCTATTTGCGTCTATAATGCATAATGCATTGTTCTCCATATGAATCTTATAACATTTCTCAAACAATTGACCAATACTTAGAAGGTTAAACTTGATTATGAGAATATACAAAACATCCTTTACTAAAGAATGTTCATTATTCCTTATCTCAATCGATACGTCACTAATCCCTTTCGATGCTAGAGTGGTGTCATCCGTAAACTTTACCTTGTTCTTCGTGGCACAAATGATTATAAAAAACCAATAAAAATTTCTTTCTATCATGTGTGTTGAAACATCTGGAATCTAGATACCATTGATCGCCACATTGTATGTACAACCTCTTTCGTAGTCACCATGACATTTTCTTCTGCCTGTAGCCAATTAAAGTATATAGGTAACCAGTTACAGCCTTCTCTACTAGCCTGTTATATCCTCTTACAACTATCTTGTGACATGCTAATTCTACAGTCTCCATCACTGATCATCATAAAGAGTGTGTTCTCATCACCACACTCTTGTCTTGAAACCCTAACTTCATCTACCCGAGGCTCTTTCTTGTCGGTACTGCACTCTCTTGCAAAATGACCATATTTGTGACAATTAAAGAAATGAACACTGCTTTTGTCTCTTTTCTTGCTTCCTCCCCTTCCTTTAGAGTTATATGATCCACCAACTCTATTGTTGCTGATTTCATCATTTTGAAATCGTAAAAATTTTGAAATTTTGGGACTTTCTTCCACCAAAATTCTGAAAGTTCCCTTTACATTTGTTCATGGACCACTTTCCATTCACCTTCTTGTCTCTTTCATTGAAACAGGCTTGCAAAGTGATCTCCGCCTTTACCTTATCAACATTCCTTTCCTCAATTCTCTTCTCATGAGCTTCCAAAGAGCTTTGTACCTCCTACTTGCTTATTGTCACAAGATCCTTCGATTCCTCAATCACAACTACTATGTTGTCAAATCTTGACGTCAAAGTATGCAACAATTTTACAACCACATACTTCTCTATGATCATTCGAGCTGCCTTTTGTGAGTTTGTCACCTCACCACCTTTGCATTATCATCTAATGCATAATTTTTCTACAAGATTTCCCAAACTTCTTTTGAGGATGTACAATAACCAACCTACTTAAAGTTGTCGGAATCCACACATTGAAGAATGAGATACAACGCCTTATAATATTTTACCTTTTCTTCCTTGTGTGAAGTCCTTTCTGTAACCGTTGCACCTTTTACAAGTGGAGTAGCACCGTTTATGATCACTTCAAGAACATCTTGATAACCAAACAACATCTTCATTTATTTGCACCACTTGTCGTAATGCTTCGCATCGAGAATTTGGAGATCTACAAGGATACATTCATTGGAGATGGAAAGTATTTTTGTACACAAATTATTTGATGGATCAAACCAAGCTCTTGATGTCAAATGTTGGAACAAGAAACCACAAGAATAACGATTTTCAATATGGAGAGAGAGAGAGAGAGAGAGAGAGAGAGAGAGAGAGAGAGAGAGAGAGTAACAATTGAGGATGAAAAACATGATATACTATTAATGAGATACCCAAAGAGTATATATACATAATTACATTAAGTGAGGTACTGAGTAACAAAAAATAAGTTCTACAGTTGTAACTGGTTATAGAAAGAATGTAATTGATTAGTTAACACTTTAATTTCTACTATAATCGATTATAGATAAGCTATAATTAGGTGCAGTAACACTGTTCTTTTCTCCAAAGAAGAACCTGGTTTTAGTCCGCATTAATTGATTACAAGCACGTGAATTACACATTTTTAATATATATATATATATATATATATATATATATATATATATATATATATATATATATATATATATATATATATATATATATATATATATATATATATATATATATATATATATATATATATATATATATATATATATATATATATATATATATATATATATATATATATATATATATATATATATATATATATATATATATATATATATATATATATATATATATATATATATATATATATATATATATATATATATATAAGGGTGTTCGCGGTGCGGTTTGAGTAGTTTTGACGCAAAAAATCATTTGAACCACAAGAGAAAAAAGGTTCAGTTGACTTTTAAAAATAAAACCGAAACAATCAAAGCAAACCAATTCGGTTTGCGTTGGTTTGATTGGTTCAATTTTTTACAAGATTTTTAATGAGGCATACATACACATATAGAGAAAAACATAACTTTGTGTTTAGTCATTCATACATTACCAAATAACAAGAAAACTCATCATATTTAAACAAAAACTTCTCATTCAATATATAAAAATAAGATTAGATAAAAATGGAATAAAAAACTTAACATAAAACAATATCAAAAATAGTATAATAAAAAATAAAATATGGAAGAGAGTAGAGATTAAAGATGAAAAAGAAAGAATATACGAGATGCGAGATTAAAGAAGAAATGTGCGATAAAAACGTAATTGAAAGAGAAAACAATAATATAAAAATGAGAAGATGAAAAATAAAGAATTTAAGAGAGGAATGATTAGAGTAGAAGATGTGAGATGCACATGATAAAGAAAATTAGAAGAATGCACGATACTACCAGGAGAGATTTGAGAAGGTTGAAGCTAAAATTCTAAGTGTGAGTAAGAGAAAATTTGTAAAGTCAATGCATAATAGATTTGAGTTTTGGGTTGTATGTGGTATAAATGAAGTTTGGGTAGTATCATATTGCGGTTTGTTTTGGTTTAGTTCGATTTACAAAATATAAACCGTAAATGAAATTGAAACGCGTGGTTTTGTTAAAAAATGACCAAAACACATTCGAACCAAATGCATTTATTTACGGTTTTGATTTGATTCACAGTTTTCCATTGTGTTGGTTCGGTTTTGAACAATTATATATATATATATATATATATATATATATATATATATATATATATATATATATATATATATATATATATATATATATATATATATATATATATATATATATATATATATATATATATATATATATATATATATATATATATATATATAAAACTCATTCTTCATATAAAAGTAACCTTCTATAAATGAATTCCGTGAATTCCACGTTTTTGCAAGCACGTCGGCACAAACGTCATTCAATATTTCCGGCATAATATACACCTTCAATATAAAAGTTTTTTATACTATCCATCAACTTTAATTCAACACCTACAAATATTGATTTCTTGTTTATGAATTTTGTTAAAATACATCTTGAATATAAAAAGTTTTTATACTATCGATCAACTTCAGTTAAACAGTTGGATCTTTTAATCATAGTTGACTTTTATCATAATTAACCCTAAATTTATGATAATGAATCCTATTAACGTTATGACAATATGAAATTATTGAAGAATTTTATAATAAGTCATGGAAAGCATTATCATTTTTATAATAAGTTTCTACGATGTAGTTGTCATTAAGCCAATCCACATTCTATTCCGTTTTTCTTTTAATAAATACACACCATTTCTCGTACACACTTCAACTTGTTCAAAGCAATATGGCAACGCAATTGGAGCCGTGGCACAGTCTTGCCGGAAAAATTGTTCTCGTTACCGGCGCTTCTTCCGGCATTGGTCGTGACTTATGCCTCGATCTCGCTCCAGCTGGCTGTCGCCTCATCTTGGCAGCTCGTCGGATAGACCAACTTCAGTCCGTCTGCGACGAAATCAATAAACAGTTACTGTCACATGAATCAAAAAACTTCCGCGCCATTGCGATAGAGCTTGATGTCGCGGCCGACGGCTCCGTCATAGAAAAGTGCTTGCAGAAGGCATGGGAAGCTTTTGGCCATATTGACGTGTTGATAAATAATGCTGGTGTTAGAGGTAAATGGAACATCTTAAAATTGATTTGTAACATCTCATATTGTTTGATTAATTGTTGTGTTCTTGTCTAGGAAATGTGAATTCACCTTTGGATTTGTCCGAGGAGGAATGGAATAAAGTGTTTAGAACAAACTTAACTGGTACATGGTTGGTTTCAAAATATGCATGCAAACTCATGCGTGATTCAAACAGAAAAGGATCAATCATCAATATCTCTTCAATTTCTGGCTTAGAAAGGGGACTATTACCTGGAGCTACTGCATATGCTTCTTCAAAGGCAGGTGTAAACATGCTAACAAAGGTATATAAGAATGGATTCAATATTTATAGGTACACATGCTGTTAATGCTATAAAAATAATTTAAACATATTGATAATTGACAGGTGATGGCATTGGAATTGGGTAGATATAAAATAAGAGTGAATTCAATATCACCTGGAATTTTCAAATCTGAAATAACTGAAAATTTAATGAAGAAAAATTGGCTAAACAATGTGGTCATAAAAACAGTGCCATTGAAAAGTTATGGCACTTCAGGTCCAGCATTAACTTCAATTGTTCGCTACTTAATTCATGATTCTTCCGAGTATGTGACCGGAAATATTTTTATCGTCGATGCCGGTGCTACCTTACCTGGCGTGCCTATTTTTTCATCACTATAAGATTTAATATTGTAATAGTTAATGTATAAGGTGGCACGTTGTTTGTTTATGAGAATTTTTTGAAAGGAATGAAAAATTGTGTTTCTTTATCAACCTTGGTGAATTTTCTGGTATTGGCAATAATTACATCAAAGGGAGATTAACTATGCTATGAATACTGATATATAGTTATTTTGGTCGTTCCTTCATTTGCTGAAAACAAATGAGAATAGCAGAAAAGAGAGATTCATTTGAAAAATTGTTGAACAGTTCTAACAATAATGATAGAGAGATAGACTTTCATAATCTTTCCTGCGTTTTCCTGTAAGCTAATGCTTTTAACAGCGTTTCTGAGTTGTGTTGTTTTGGGGTTCGGGTATGATCAAATTAATATTAAGTTATTTAATGTCTTATTTTAAAATAATTTTATATTTTATTAATTTATAATATGTTTGATATTTGTTTGAACAATTTTAAATTTTTTTTGTATTTAATAATATGCTAGATTATTTTTAAAAAATAATATATTACATCAAAATTTATTATATTTAAAATAATATATTATATATAATAAATATTATGAGGTTTTTTTCTTATAAAAAATAAAATGTAAATAATTTGTTTAGGGTCGGCAGTCTGCAACCCGTTTAGAGTTGGATTTAGTTAATATATTTTGAGTCAATCTTCTAAAATAGTTTTTTTTTCGATCTTAAAAAATCCAAGATATACTAGGGTCATCCATTTAGGGTCAGATAACTCGTTTTGAGAGATCCATTTTAAAATCATGTACGTGTTTGATTTTTTAAAATATGAATGTAATATATTATATATATATTTTTAAATTTATTCTCCATCAATTTATTTTATTTATTGTTCATATAAGTGGTTACTATCAGAATAATGCGTTTTAATGTTTACTTATTGATAGAAAAAATAACAAGTGTACTATTCTGTCTCTGTAGTAATAATAGGGAAAATCCTCACTATCGTTCTTAAGGACTGTTTGATGATACAGAGTTCTGAATCAGTTTCAATTAAACAAAAAGTCTCTGGGAGTTTTCAAATTGTTTACCGGTTCTTTAGGACCGTTTACTCCTAAGTCCTTAGTGAGAAAACCTTTGATTACTCAACCTAATTAGTATGTCCATAGGCAATTAAGGTTAAAATCAAACATTCATATATCAAGAATATTCCGATTATTATAAGGTATCCCTAGTCCTAGATGATATCTATTACAACATGTTTTCAACTAGATCAGTGAATTATGGTTGTCCAACCTAATTCCTTCACAGAGTTTCAGAATTCGTTTGTCCGACGAATAAGGCATTAAGAACGAAGATGAAAACAAATCAACGATTAAGAAAATAAAATTGTCATTGCATCAATTAAATTGATTCATTACATTCAGAATCAGGGACACCCCCTAGCAATGGGGGATTTAGCTACTCATAACAGAAAATAAAAACATGGAAGAAAGTGTTGTCATTACAGAAATCGGGAGGAATCAATCTTCAATCGTGAATAACTCTTGAAAATACGAATACACTCTGAAATCATGAGTTCTCCTGCCTCTAAAACGTGTCTTTGCTCTCAAACATCGTCCAACCCTTCAAAAATCACATTCTGGAAATGAATAGTCAGTTATGGGCTTTTCAGCAAATTGGGCTTTGTCCTACCTGTTTCAAATTTTCATTCGTCTGACTTTATTTTTAATTTTGCATTCCTTGTACAGCGTAACGTATTTTCCAGCATGAATAATTCCTAAAATGATTAGTCAGAATAAATATCTTGGATATGCAAACGGACTGGTCGAATTGTGTCTAAAATATACGAGAACAATCAGTGATTGAAAAGTTTCGAATTTAGACTTGCAGGCGTCAGTAATTTTGACATACTTTCCACTAAAGCTTGACCTAACACGCTCGTCTTATCTCTCGACAAATTTTCAATCACTTTTGATTAGTTTGAGCCTTTATACTGGTTCTTATTAATTCTCAAAGTTGACTTAATGTTGTATCTTTCCAGGCTATTTATTTCGCATTAATCTTTTGTGTGCAGTCGATTTAATTTTTCAGGCACTTCATTGCCCGACTTATGTTTATTTTCACCCAATTTATTTTTATATTTTCATCAAATTGTCTAGAATAATTAATTTGAATTTCTCATGCTTACATTTCATTTTTAGCATATCTATTTAATAAGTTACGAATTTTTTAGTGGTTTTTAATTGATTTAATTCTATTAAATTAATTAAAGCTTCTAGAAAGGGACATTTTGACATTTTAATTTAGGTGTGCTTCTTTGATTAAATAGAGATCGTTGGATGCAAATTTAATCAAGGGTGTACATGCATGATCCTCATTTTTTGTCATTGACTAATCGCATTTTAGCATTTTATTTCAGTTTTTTTGATTTAATTGAAACAATCAGCAAAATATAAAAATATTTTTATCATATCATTAAGAGACTTGTCCACCCACAATTGGGTGGTTTTAAAATTTGTTGGTCACTCAGTCCAATAAAAAACTGACAAGTGGCATTGGGTAATTTTGTTTATATTTTTGTTTATACTTTTGTTTATATTTGGTTGAAAATAATAACAAATATCTAATAATAATAATTAAAATTAAAAAAAGAAGCAAAAAGAAGAAAAGAAAAGAAAGAAAATAGGATAAGAAGGAGAAGAATAGCTGGCAGAGTGGGGGTGGGGAAGTCTCTGAACACGCGAATCAAGAGCGGGGTTGCTGAAAATTAGGGCTGGAAATGAGTCGAGTCGAGTCGAACTCACCTCAACTCGGCTCGACTTGTTAAGAATTGTTCGAGTTCGACACGAACTTTTTTTTAAGCTCAAACTCGACTCGTTATAAGTTCACGAACAGTTCGGTTCAACTCGTTAGGTTCATCTCATTAGGTTTAGCTCACATGATTCACGGATTTAAGAACTATTTTTTAAATATATATATATATATATATATATATATATATATATATATATATATATATATATATATATATATATATATATATATATATATATATATATATATATATATATATATATATATATATATATATATATATATATATATATATATATATATATATATATATATATATATATATATATATATATATTAGTATATTTGACATTTTAAATAAATATATTTTTTAAAAATATAATATTAAAATAAAATAAAAGTTATCATATTGAAATTTAACTTTATCTTCGAAATCTACTAATTTAAAACCTACACAACTTTCAAGAGATACATTTGAGAGTCTAATTCAAAAACTATTAAATTGAAGATTAAATTTGTCTAAGATTTGAAGTAAATCTTTAAACCTAATCTTAAAGACAGTATAATTCTTCTCATATGTAATCTATTTGACTCATGAACCTAACGAGTCGAACTATGTATAGTTCAAGTTCAGCTCATTTAGTTAACGAACTTAATTTTTCGCTCATACTCAACTCATTTGGTTCATGAACCTAGTTCAACGATTTAATTGTCGAATCGAATTCCGAACTATTTTCGAGTTGGTTCGGTTCATTGCCAATCCTACTGAAAATTGATCCATGATCCTCCTCTCTATCGTTTTTTTCACCCTTCTGATTACTAACCACCGCCATTTTCCCTCCAATTGAACCCTTCATTCCTCACCGCAACCATCATCTTCACCACCATTCGAACCTCTCAAAATCGTATTCCACCTCAACATTCCTTTCGTACAACTCCATCTTCCTCTTTCTACCTTCACCGCCGCTCACCACTCTTCACTTTTCCGACGAAATCCTCTCACTCTTTCTCCTTCGTGAACAACAACAACACCACCCTTGATCACTCACATATCTTACTCAACCCGACCATGTTTCCAAGCCACTCTCATCAACCTCATCGCGTCGGTTATTTTCCTTTCACAGATCCAACGCGCATGTTCATGGCTCGCAAGCGATTCTATGATTGCAATTTGTGATGTGCAGGTTGTGAATTCGTTCTCACCACGATGTTGCCAAACTCCTCCACAAGTAATGGCCGCGACGACAACATAATATCTCTAACTTAGCTCCGTTTCAAACATCAGCAACTTCAACATTTATGCGAGTTCCCGATCCACGACTTATCAACATCTCAATACAAATATGCAAGGCTGCGACAGCTACAACATCAATAACAATGCGAGCTCGAGGATACCGTCTCGAACACCAAACACTTGTTAGCAGCAATGCGGTTTTTCTGCTTCGCGCAGAGACTTCTCATGTTTCACGCTCGATTAAATAAAGGTAACAATCATATGCTGATGTTGTGCGAATCGTGTCAACGTTTCAAACATTGCGGAAATTCTTGGAAATGAACCTGCGATTGTTGTGGTTATAGGTAATTTCTCGCTGAGTTTGTTGCAGTAATGTTGCTTTTGGTTTTTAGCATGGCATTGTTGTTTTTCATTTCACTGCTACCTGGAGTTATGGATGAATTTTGAACCTATCTTTGTGCTGCAGAGTAGCTTACCCTTTATGTTCATGTTCACCTTTTTCATTGGAATTCAAATTTAGGGGGTTGAGAAAGGTGCTTGACTTTTTAAGATTTCTGAAATTGTTTTTACTCATTACCTGTGTGTGAACTTTGAATAGCAGCAGAGTTTTATTTCATTAATATGAAAGTTTCGAATTGCAAGTGTATGAAACAATTTTGTTGTGCCACAAAAGATAACATGCTTTGGTGATGTTCTTCCTCTTAGAATGGAAGACCGGTTCTTATAGCTTATGAAACTATTACTGTTTATTAATATCATATGCTTTCATAGAATTTTTCATCCATTGCCTCGTATTGTTCACTTTTTTTTTTCAATTTAAATATGCTAGTTGTTGGTTCACATGTACGTAAATACACGATTAGGTGTGTACAATGTTAGGTTTATCTAATATTTTATGGGCTACAATCAATTGTGGTTTAATTTGTAAAAAAACGGGTTAATCGTGATTCTGATGGGGGTGCATATATAAGCCCTTTAATTGATTAAGT